TATAACAGCATAGAAGTACTGTTTGATCTAAGAATGCATTATAGTATAGAACAGTATAGAAGCACTGTTTAATCTAACAATGCATTATAGTATAGAACAGCATAGAAGCACTGCTTGATCTAACAATGCATTATAGTATAGAACAGTATAGAAGCACTGTTTAATCTAACAATGCGTTGTAGTATAAAACTGTATAGAAGCACTGTTTAATCTAACAATGCATTGTAGTATAGAACAGCATAGAAGCACTGCTTGATCTAACAATGCGTTGTAGTATAGAACAGTATAGAAGCACTGCTTGATCTAACAATGCATTATAGTATAGAACAGTGTAGAAGCACTGTTTAATCTAACAATGTGTTGTAGTATAGAACAGCATAGAAGCACTGTTTGATCTAACAATGCATTGTAGTATACAAGAGTATAGAAGCACTGTTTAATCTAACAATGTGTTGTAGTATAGAACAGCATAGAAGCACTGCTTGATCTAACAATGCGTTGTAGTATAGAACAGTATAAAAGCACTGCTTGATCTAACAATGCGTTGCAGTATAGAACAGTATAGAAGCACTGTTTAATCTAACAATGTGTTGTAGTATAGAACAGCATAGAAGCACTGCTTGATCTAACAATGCGTTGCAGTATAGAACAGTATAGAAGCACTGTTTAATCTAACAATGTGTTGTAGTATAGAACAGTATAAAAGCACTGTTTAATCTAACAACGTGTTCGTCACTGGCCCATTTAGCAGTATAAGTAATCTATATATAATACAAACAAATATTTACATTAGTATCAATAGTCAGTGTCACAGAATATTTCTGGCGAGTATAATATCATGTTATGATTAAAGTAGCAACTATATGTAATGAGTATAAATTCGTATCATCAATCTGGCTAGTCATTTATTATGGTAAATAGTATACCTTTGTATATCTCCCATCATGATATACAAAGGTATACTATAAAATATACCCTGTTGAATGAACTTTGACACGCTATTGGTCATGTGTCTAGTTGTTCAGGCTCATGCTGAGCGTGTGTCTAGTCTTCTAGTATTGTTCATTTGGGATTTGTCTTCCTTCGAGATTAACCTGAATATTACCATAACATGATGCTGAGGGTTGGCCTAGTCTTCTAGTATTGTTCATTTGGGATTTGTCTTCCTTCAAGTTTAACCTGAATATCACCATAACATGATACTGAGGGTGTGT